CAGAGCCTCGACCCCCAGGTCACCCCATCTATCTGTCCGCCCCCTCGGCCCCCAGCTCGCCCCCTCGGCTCCCCTGATGAAGTGGGTTCTAGCCCACGAAAGCTTATGCCCAATAACCGTGTTAGTCTCTTGAAGCCCCTGGTCTCCATCTCCCCCGATGACAGGTAAATCCACCCCCAGCCACATGGGGGGAACACCAATGGGGGAGGGGTGCCTGTCTCTGGTCCGGCTGCCCCCACTGCAGCCCCACTGGCCGCCCCAGATGGAGCCTGCCAGGGCCTGGCTGCCGCAGACCCTAGAGCCAGGCTGGTCCAGGTGAGAGCCCGGGTGGGGAGCTGGGGCAGGCCCTACACAGAGTCTGCCCCACAAGGGAGCCAAGGGGTGGGGATGTTATGGGGGGCAGTAAGGAGAGCTGGGGGGGCGGTTGGGAGATGAGGGGGTGAGGCCAAGAAACAACACAGGTGTCCGGGCCCCCAGGCCACTGCTCTAACCTTGGTCTGCCATCTTGGGCGTGATGGGGGGCAGGGTGGGGGGCTGGCAGGGGCAGGACCAGAACCCCCCAATTGGCAGAATATAGCACCGGGCTAGATCTGAGGGGGGGCAAGAGGCTGGGGCGAGGGGGCCAAGGAGGGGGAGCAGCAGACCCCTGGAGCCCCCACTCCCTGGTATTACTCCAGAGGGCCCTGCAATTCCTGCCCAAGGCTCTCCAGCCCCCCGCCCCCATATCGCTGCCTCGGTCTCCCCCAGCCTCTTCGACGCCGTCTACCGCCTGATCAAGAACCGGATCCACCGGCTGCCGGTGATCGAGCCCGTGTCCGGGAACGTCCTGCACATCCTGACGCACAAGCGCATCCTCAAGTTCCTCCACATCTTCGTGAGTGGGGAGGAGGCTGGGGGGCATCAGGGCCCCTCCAGGAATTGCTGAGCCAGCCCCTCGGCCCCCCCAGATCGCCCCCATGGGGGGGTATGGGAGGGTGGCACCCCTTGTGCCGGCAGCGACCTTGCAGTGCCTGCTGCGCCCAGGGGCTGGTGCGGGGGGGGGGTTAGGCCTGTCCGTGCGGGGGGCGTGGGGCGTGTAGCAGGGTGCATGGGGCGGCGGAGGGGTGGCCTGTGTTGGGGGCCGCCTGTGTTGGGGGCCAGCGCAGGCCGGGGCGTGGGGGGAGGGTTGCTGTGTGCAGGCAGACATGGCCGTGGGTCGGGTGTCGAGAAGTGTCTGCCTTTGGGCAGGGGGTGATGGAGGTGTACAGGTGGGGGGAGGGGAGGTATTCGTGCAGCGGGTGCAAACGGGCACATGCTTGCAGCCCCCCACGTGTTACACGCAGGCATTTGTTGTGCATGTGAAGGGCTGCATGCATGCAGCATGTGTGCATGGGGTGTGTGCATGCAGGGAGCATGCGGTGTGTGTGGGGGGGGAGTGTATGTTAGGGTTGTGCGTGTATGTAGTGTCTGTGTGTGGGGTGTATGTGCAGGTTGTGTGTGCATGCAGTGTGTGGGTGTGGGTGGTTTGTATGTGTGTGTATGTACGTGTGGGTGGGTGTATGTGCGGGTTGTGGGTGCATGCAGTGTGTGTGAGGTGTACGTGCGGGTTGTGCGTGCATGCAGTGTGTGTGTGTATGTGC